AAACATCTTCTCCAATATCATGGAAATACATGCATGATTTTGCATGTAATTATTTTGTAGCTAAAAAAAATATTTAATTATTTCTTATTTGCTTGTGTCAAAAGTATGACAGAGCAATATATTTAAGTACTTGCTGTACTGTATGTATTTCGCTTGCCCATACGTGGAGAGATGTATTAAGGCCTTTGTTCAAATTAACAGGATATAATGTGATGGACATCACTGAGACACAAACAGAAACAGATCAATTTTTAAAACGAAGATAAACTGCCTGATAGCTTGTTCTACAAAATTATTTTTAAAAATATGCAATTCAGAAAGAAATGATTCAGTTCCAGCCACTGGGAGTATTTAGTTCTTATGAAGACAAAATTCTGTGAGGCATTTGGAGGTTTACAGTCTCCAATCCCGCTCCTTTGAGAACTCTCTGCTGTGAGCAGAACAGCAGCCTTGCACTGCCAAATAAATCTGAGAAAACAGCACCCTGCAGAGGAACAAGCAGATATTGCAGAAGCTAGCCTTTTCTTGTGGGCGATTGTAATTAATGCACCTACTGCAAGCCAAATGCCTACATACTCATTTTTCCTCAATCCACAGAGACACCAAAATCGGTGTGAGAGACACCAAAATCAGATGTCACAATCTTCTTTATTGTAATTAATTTACTATTTCATTAAAACCTTCATTCATTTCTGAGAGTCAAGAACATAAGTTCTTAAGTGACCAAATGCAAAAGAGTGTTTCTGATATGTGACTTTGGTTGCCGCCACACTGACACATAACACACCTATATTAAGAATACAGCTCATTGACAAATACATAATTGTCTTGCTAAGAATCCAGTACAATGCACAAGTCTACAACAAACCGTCGTGATCATAAGTTATTCATGACTAAGGACTGTGGCGTCATATCTACAAGGTTTGTTTGCTGTACAATTCAACATAATGGCCTGTTACACCCTTTCAAGAGGTTATATCCACTATCCATAACCTGCATTAGTAATACCTGGGAGGTTACAGCGTTACATTAGATGCACAAAGGGTGATCATACAGGCACTGTACTGGCAAAGAACGTCACATGTACAGAGGAGAAAAGTTGCTTGGACATTTAAGCTGAAATGTATTTTTTTTTCAGTCTGATGAATGACAAAACAGGGTGTGCAAACAGATCAAAACAGCACCAAACCCAAACAAACTTCTAATCGCACAAAGGAAATATCCTTTTATTAGCCGTGAATTAACAGTTTCCCGCTTCATTTTTTTCTCCCTGCAACAGTCTATAATTGCCAGCTGGAGAGCAGCAGGTAAAAAAGGGGACACCATTGCTTGGGAGGCAAGAACATAATGGTGAAGTATTTGTGAAAACATCGGTTCTCCGTCAGCGAAATAGAGCATTATGTCAATTTTCATAATTAAAAAGAATATCAAAATAAAAAAGTGGAAAAATACATATAAAATGTGCAAGAAGATTATATAAATTACAGAAAGGAAATTATACTTGTGGTGTTTATTTTTCTTTTTACATTTTCCCCATGTGACCTCAAATGTTGTTCAAAGCACACCACAGCACAGACCATAGTCCAGACAGCCATACAAGACTCTTTCTTCTGCCTAACAAGAGAACCTGGCCAATGAGCGCCATCGAGCTCCCCACAAAATAAGAAATAATAATTTACGACTAGGCTCCAAATGCACCAGCTGTGCGAGCATTTAGAAATGAAGATCGCAGGTACCCAAACAATACACGCACAGTATTCTTTTGCTGACGTACATCAAACAGGTCCCTGCGAAACACTAATTTCTGAAAACAGTACAAATATTTTGACATTCAACTTCAAGTACTTTATGACAGGTAAAGTACAACTTGCTCTTCTGTTTATATTCATTCCAGGAGGCATCCAGTTGCACTAAAGGCTGCAAAATACTACAAATGCAGTGCAATTTATACTAAATTGGATTAATTAATACAATTAATAGTTTAAGTCCACCAGCTGAGCTAAGCCCTATGCTCTGAATCTTGCTTTTGCAGAATCACTTTTTTGTACATCCTCCTTACAGTATCTATTAAACGCAACACCTGGATTTCCACTAATGAAGTGACTTCTATATTTACACAGAGTGAAATCACACAGAAATTTTAGCTGTTATTTTTGCCCGAGCTGCCAGCTTTGAAGGATGTATACTTTTCTTGTTCCTTCCCAAAATCAATATGATGTCATGGGCGATGATTATGGGGGCTTGTGTTGTGACTATTGTGTCTTTCTCCTATTCAGATGCATCAGCTGATTCCTGCTGCCTAATTTAAGCTGATAAAATGGCATTTAAACAAAACAGCCGGAAAACAAACAGAATACAGTAGTGATAATCTTTTTATTTTGGTGTTTGTATAAATGAAGGCTTTAGTTTGATTTTTGGTAACTTTTTAGAATATGATGCACTGTTTAAACTGTGTACTGAAATAGTCTTTTTTTTTAAGTGTATTACTGAATTTTTAAACAGGTTTACTCAAACCACGCTTTTTAACAGCGATGTATGAGATGTGCTTTGTGCCTGAAAGTTTAAGTAAATACAAAATGCTAACCTTCTAACTTTTCATCTGAATATTGAAAAGATGTTTTTCATAGTGAAATGAAGAGGTGATATGCACTGAAGAGAGTGAAATTTAACAGTACCTAAATTAACATTAAATCAAATACTGTGTGGGGCTATTTTGCAAAGGTTCTTGAAGAAATCAGTTTATTAAAATGTAATTAAAAACTCAAATATTTATATACTATTTATACATTACATAAGTATAAAATAGAGAAAAAAAGTATATAATATCATAACATTTACATAATTCTTTAGATAAATATAAAATGTTACATTTGATTAAAGAACTAGTCATAAACTAGATAAATGTGTTGAACAGCGAGAACAGGATCGGAGCTCCTGTGCTGATGGAAAATAACCTCCAGAGACAGCTGGGATTCACGTGCAAAAAAACTGAAACTGAAATCTCCACTTCCAGGTCAAATAAATTAATTTAAAAAACATTCTAATCCGCACATTAACACAACACACAGGCTACTGTATGAACGTAAAGCCCAGATGCAATATTGCCAGACCATTAAAAAGTATACTTACCGAGGGATAAAAAAACAAGTTTGTAAAAAAGAGGTGTCTATTTTAAAAATATAGTACACGAGCCCCAAAATACCTAATGCATTCTGAATAGATTTTTTATTTAAGCTGAACAGTGCCACGTTTTAGCTGTGATACTAATTAAACTATAATTTGAAAATGTTGAGGCCCTTTATTTTTAAAATATACCATATGGCACACGTAAGAGTCAGCACCCACATTTTATATGCGAAGCCAAAATTTAGAAACCCAACAAGGCAAAGTTGTGATGGACTAATTGCAGACAGGTGTACCTAAACTTCTGCTCTGAAAACAAGCCAGTTTCCAGCATGGTTCCTGAGACTTTCAAGGCTGCGACGTACAGTACATCTCCTGCCCAAGACTACCAAATTCCAACATATTCATGTCAGTTCTGTTCAATTGAAATAAAAAAACTGACATCGGCAATTGACGCATGTTAGATGAATCTTGAGAAAAGAGTTATGGCTGAGGGGACATGCCCAGTCAGAATATCTGACAGCAATCAGAAAGTGAGTGGGAAATCATAGAGCTGTTGCTGGGTAAAATTTCAATCCCTGATGTTAACTACTAGGATCTCCCAGAAAAAAAGATACATTCCTAGTAACTCCCCAAACCAGTTCCTCCTTTTCATTATAGATATTTTACTTGAACTTAGCAGTGTGGTTTTAATAAAGGGTACAATTGTTTAATTATGCCACTGGTTTGTACACTCAGAGTAGTGAAGTATAAATAATGCCAATGGATATTACAGCATGACCATGGAAACTGGGGTAAAGTTTGGCAGGCAGATACAGATACAGAGTCTGTTCGCAGCCAGTGCCTGTATTTGACAAATAAAAGGAAGAGTGTTGCAGGTAGGTTATTGCTCACAGTAGTAGCCCAGTCAAGGTCTGCTTAGGTGTTTTAATACAACCCCTTCAAAAACCCAGTGCAACTGAGCAAAGAGCTGGGACGTTACAGTTACCTGGAAAAGGAGTCCACCTCCTTGGCACCTGTCTGTGGGCAGATGTATTTTTTTTTACTTTCTTCCTTTCCTTTCATGCTTTTGAAAAGCAGCATAATGTTGAGGTGGCTGTGCTTTAAAAGCAGGACTGTTTAGAAAAATGTGATGACGGAAATGTGTTACCCTTACCCCTCAGGAAACAATCATCAAACGAAATCAATACATCTCCACTAATAATGACACACAGGGACTCTGTGTTGCAGCATGTACAGTAGGAGTGACTAGATGATTGATGCTATATGCCCTCTGGCATATTAAAAAGAAACAAATACATTTCACAGCTCTCCCTTCTGCATCTCTCTATATTTCTATTTATGTTTACAGTCATGCGAAAGCACATGCTGTTTCTAGTTTTGCAAGTGCTGCACATCTGTGTATAATACATTGTGGGCCATGCAACAGCTTATAACACAAATTGTGACATGAGCAGGGAAGGGACAATGAAAAGTTTAATCGAATGACTGACTTTGCCCCAAATGGAGTGTATGAAAAGTACGCAGTAGATTCAATTTTTGAAGGAACAGCGAAACACAAACCACAGGACACTGCAGACACTATGTGGACGCGCAATTAAAACGAAGGACAGGGACCATTTCTTTACCCAGAGTGTTGTGGGAATATGCAGCAAGAGACCCAGGCATATTGTTGAAGCCGCTACCCTAGTTTCTTAGAAGAAACAGCAGGAAGAGATCCTTGGATCAATAAACTACTAAGTATTAAGCGGGCTAGAATGCAGAAAGGGCTGAATGGCATCGTCTTGTGTGTGACGTCTCCGCGTGTTTGTCCCGCCATGTGGAACGCACGGGCCAGGGGGCAGCAGTGAGCTGCGAGGGCCGCGAGGGGGACTCACCGTGCAGCGGGGACCCGGAGGGGCTGCTGGACAGGCCGGGGACGGGGCTGCAGCGCCCTCCCTGCTTGCCGCTCAGCTCCTGCTCGATCTCCTCCAGGCCCGCGCTCTTCTGGAAGCGGCTCATGCGGTTGACCACGCGGGGCGACAGGTGCGTGCGCACGCACGGCGGCCCGCCGTAGGGGTTGATGGGGAAGACGTGGGAGGTCCCGCGCAGGGTGCTGATCACCGCCCACCGGCAGTCGTGGCTGAAGCAGATGTCCTGCACCTGGGCAGGGAAGAGCAGGAGCCAGGGTGAAGGAAAGGTGAAACACCGGGAAGATAACTCCGCTCTCGAGTCAACACTCAATGTGCTGCGCTCAATCAAGTCATGTGTCTTTAAACAACACACGTATGTTATTCATGGTCTGATGACACTCACAAATCGGCAAGAGCCATCTGCACATCCTTCTCAGTGACACACAGAACTACCTGCAATTTTAATGATTTTAATTAAATAAAATACCTTTTTACTGGTTCCAAGTATGAGCTACCATCCAGATTTAATCTTTATTGTATAATATATATGGGACAAAGCAGCGATGGCTAATTTCAGCAGGTGTTCCAAACACAAGAAGGGCAATAATGTGTTCTAAAGCTTTAAAAACCTCACTTTACAGTAGCAATAATTTTAACTTTCTGGGCATCCAAAAATATACCATAAATACTACAAACTAAATAAATTTCAAAGCATGAAAATACTGTATAACAGAGATTTGGTATGTCTTACACACAAGACTCAGATATTATAGAGTACAGAATGGCTACTAACTCAATAGTCTCGGCTTTCCTCTCAACCTGGTTTCCAAAGCACTGCCTACTCAGCTAACAAACACCATAGATAAAATCTCTTCAAATATTCCAGACATGCACTACAGACAAAAGAACAAAACTGTTCATTATCATGCATGTTTAAAACTGTGCTCTGTGACTCCAGAGAGCGGAATGAGGGAATTTTAGTTAGACACTTTAAACTTGATACAGGTCAGTCTGATTGTCACTTCAGACCGAGGTTCACATAGAACAAAGTAAAAAATGTACCCTGCCCCCTTCAGTTCCCCAAAAGCATAAACAAACTGCCTGACTATTGACTATAAAGCCTACAATATCAGCATTCCTGTTCGAAGACTTTGATTTCTTTTCTCCAGATTAAAAATGCAAAGCGTGTTTAGTTTTATCGAACCCGCATGATAGCTGTATCTTCAGATAATGAAGACGTAGACCACAAAATGAAATTTTTCACAAAACAACATGGAAAGGCTTTTTAAGAATTGAAAAAAACAACCGGATTTACACTGACAAAGAAAGAATGTCATGTATTTTTCCCACCTTATTGTTTGAGCCACACAGAAGCAGCATAACATGCAAGGAGAGCTAACAGAATCTGTCAGGAGTCCAAGATGATAGAAAACATTGACCCTTGGTACCACTGTGATGCTCACACATTTTAAACTAGTTTATACTTTAATCCAGGGTGCGACATGAAGAAAATTTTTCAAGAGCCTTGCAAGAAAATTTGTATATCAATGTAACGATTGTATATTCTAGGGCCCCATTTCAAGGAAAAGGAGAAAAAAATAAGGGAAGGGGGTAAGTATGAACAAGGTCAAAAGATAATTACACTTTCGCAGTTGCATGGCTGCAGTTTGAGAGGTGTTAAATGAAATGTACATTTGATGGAGAAGTTAATGGTGCAGCAATGCAGACAGAGCTGTGAACAAGGGCCACTGTGACTAGGCAGGCTAATTGAAACACGACTAACGTGTAAGAATGTTACAATAGCAGGAAATTCAAAAGACTGGGTTTATTATCCATAACGACAGCAAAAGGTCTAATCGGGTCTAAAATATACAGAAACAGAGTACACAGAAAAGCAGGGTTCATTTATAGAATATTACTTTGTAAAACAGCAATACAGTACAATATTCTGGTAAACCCCTCTCACACAGCTTTATCCTTTTTTTTTTGTTCAAGAATTTAAAAAGCACAAAGCACCTGCATTACCCGAGATAGATGGTTTAGGAAAGATCATGCTTTTTAACAAGAAAGTGAGAATTTGGGGAAATAGGATTATGGAACATTACCCATAAAGGGGAATGACCATGGCTGACTTGCTTAAATACTAGGGCTGAAGTACAAGCACTAAAAACACCGCACCCCACAGCTCAGTTAAATGCATTTCATTCAGAAATGTACAGAACTATTCCTTTTTGCACCCGTGTTGCACCAGTGCCCTTCCTAAAGTTACGACAAGGGTGTTAGATCCTTTCTCATGAAAAACAAAACTCTGAACATTAAGTTATTTTTTCAAAGAACATGTTATCTATATTAATGAGGTTTTGTATGTGAGTGAAAGCATCAGAAAATCACAAATCTGATTTTAGAATTAATAAAACTTATTCCATTACCAGTTTGACAATTAATAACCCACAGAAAATTAACAACTCCAGCATGAAGGGGAACACACTTGAGAGATTCAGTGAGCATCATTGATGCAATACCACTGCATTAATTCAGCATTTACAAGCATCCAGATATTTCTAGTATCATCCTAATAATTCTGGTCATGTTCTGTTCAGCCATCAAGTACTTTTAAATCAAGTTTCAAATCAATCATGATTAAAAATGTTTTAAATCAAGCGTTCCCACTTGCCTTACGAAAATCCCACTCTCATAAATCCCCTAAAAAGGGAGCTGTAATAATTTACAAAATCAAAGTTCTGAAAAGTAGCTACCTGACAAGTTCAAACAATAGCTATAGTTTGTATTACATATACTTGTACTGCTGTGCAAAACTGTTGCACTGTTTTCAATGTTTTTCTTTATTTAAAGAGAAAAACATCAAAACTCAGACCTTTTATTTTAAACTAATAAGTAAATTTCTATTTTGCAGTGTCAACAACAGCAGATTGCTGGAAGCTTTGAGAATGTTAATGATGAGGAATGCCTGAGAATGAGTCAATTAGATTTGATGATTCTGATCAATGTGAATTAAATATTGCTGAATGACATTTTATTAGTTAAACTAAGCTGTATAAGTAATAAAGTTGTTAAAATAGAAGAGAACACTAGCAGAGGCAATGAGTAAACTGTTGATACTACAATATAAATCACAAATGTAAATTGTTGACTTTTTACTATTAATTCCTGAATATGTTTTAAGCTGTTAGACAATTGGACAGCTGTGTATTTAGTATGCCTGATTATTATCATAGAAACATGCCAACATGGACACACAAAAAAAAAGCTTTTGCAAAATGCACAACACAGCAAGAGTTAAAATAATCATTAAAAAATTCAAGCAGTGTTCAAAACCATGACCTCTTTGGTCACTGTACTGCAGTTTAAAATGTGTAAAACCATGCAAATCTACCGGCAGCTCCTGGCAGTGGCTCCTTTATCACTGGGGTTTATTTACCTGCACAAACTGAGGTCAGTTATAAGAGCAGTTTGTGAGTCAGAACAAGCAGAGTCAGCCAGCCAGCAAGATAAACCAGGGTCCCTGCCATCCGCCTACCAACATTATCACTTCTGTTATTTGTTCTGCTCAAGATAATGCAGCTTTCACGAAGTTTTTTTTATTTTTTTAAACTTTTTTTTTACTGTTTACACTGCCAGATCAAAGCAAATGCATGGTCAGGCAGCAAACCCCTGCGTTAGTCAGTAACAAATTAACTACCGCTCATCTTGTTTGAAAATCTCTCCAGCCTGCATGGCGGTGGGGAGAAAAGCTTAAAACAGGCCATTCCACTCCCCATGGTGCCTGAAGGTGTTTCTGGGAGTAATCAGTTCTCCACAATAACACCCCTTGTGATGCCAGGTTGTAAATTACAGGAGGGCTGTAAAGCAGCTGGGACTGGGAGCACCCTGATCTCCATGGCGTGAAGCAGGCAGCTGATGACTAGTGGCATGGCGGGATGCCCACACTCTTGCCTCTCTCTCCTCTTCACCAAGAGCTTTGTCCTTCACCCAGCCTGTAGAACCTGCTGAGCTGGCTTGGTTTTTGGATAAAAGGACTGCGCCCCTATACAGAAATGTGAGGGTTTGTCATCCAAAGTATGACTGCACTACGGATTGACCAACCTGCAGATTCTGAGTGCTTCTCATTATAGCAACCTATTTATTAAGTTGGTCAACGGTCAGATCCATGATCAGTTGTGTTCACATGCTACAAATACAATAACTGAATCCGATAATCGAAACAAAAGCCATTTCCTTTACTGTTGTTTCCGCCGTTTCATTAATAGCCATCAAACTACTAACCAAAATAATACCCCTCGTAATAACAATGTGCCAGGGCTACCAAATTCTTCAACACGTTAAAAGGAAGCACAAGCTGAGCCCCATAGTTCAGACATCACCAGGTGGGGCCTGGACTGTGTCACTGGTGGGCGATGATCAAGATTCCCTGAGCCTTGATGAGGTCAACTTGAGATGGCCAGAATACCCCACCAAAGCATAACTTGGGAGCCTGAGAGTTAAGAACATAAGACCACAGGAGGCCATCTGGCCCATTTGACATATTTGGTAGTGAGCAGTTAATTCATCCAAGGATCTCTTCCATCCTTTTTCTTGCTTTCTTGAAAGAAGCCAGAGCATCAGCTCTGAAAACAAACGGGTGGGAAGATCATTCCATTCTCCCACAACCCTTTTGTGTAAATGAGTTGCTCCTGTTCTTGGTTTAAATATACAAGTTTCCACTTGTGTCCTCTGGTTCAGTTGCATCACTCCTCCAATCAATACCGAGTAACTCCTCCCGCCTGGTGACTATGAGGCTCAAACCATGGCAGAACGGCAGACAGCCATGACCAGAGCATGCTTCTGAAAAAAAGATGTGCTCATTCTAAACCCCTCTCCGTGCTGCTTACTAATTTATGATTTACTCATTTGAGCACCATAAACCACTTCAAATAATCTTTGCATTTTAAGCTCTGCCATCATCATTTTTGGTTAGTTACTTTAATTTTTTTTTTTAATTGGTGATGGAGTGATGAAGTTCAGCTAATACTACAAAACTAAAATTCGATTCAGCTCAAGGCAAAGCAAAAAAAAAAACTGCATTTTGTAATGTAATCGCTTTGACTCCTGAGGCCTGAAAGTCCAGTCTGGTCAGAGGGGGTGTTTGTCAGCTAGACTTCGAGAAAGCCCACCCACCTCTGCGGGCTAGCTAGAGAGCAGGAGCAGAGAGCAGCTCTGTGTTCACATCTAAACATGACAAGCCGTGCAAGG